TTTGACAAAGAAGTTTATATGGATTTCCCTGCTTTCTGGGAGGATTATCCAAAAAATTATATTTTTAAAATTGCTACTGCTGAATTACGGTGTTGGCAAAGAATACTGAATAGACCAGGGACTGCCAGAAGAACAAACAAACCTGTCTTGCAAAAAGTACAGCCACAATGCTCACTAGAAGCAAGAATGGCGAGACTTCGTCTCACATGCTCTGGACAAGTTATCAGGAGGGACCAGTCCCTGGAGAAGGACATCATGCTTGGAGAGTGGAGGATCAGTGAAAAAAAGGAAGACCCTCACTGAGATGGATTGACATGGTGGCTGCAATGATGGGCTCAAGCATAACATGATTGTGAGGATGGCACAGGACTGGGCAGTGTTTCTTTCTGTTGTACACAGGGTCGCTGTGAGTCGGAACTGACTCGATGGCACCTAACAACAACAACTTTGCTGTTGGATGGGAGTATACTGATGGGAAAGGACCAAAATGACCTCAAAAAACCCCCCAAACCAGCATTTTTTATTTGAATTTGACACTCACTTATAAGAAAATGTAGTGTTACAAAACATTGAACTAATTGTTGGTCAATACTGATTCTTGTTGCAGATTTTCAGTGATGTGCTGTGTGGCCATCCTGGCTTTCATTTCACTGTCAGATGTATAAGGACTACAGATCCTTCCAGATAGAAATGCCATGACACTACTCCAAATAAATTTTCCATTAACTGAAGGAATACAATGGATTATTATTCACTACAGCCCACGTGAAATATCTTCAAAAATGCCTTGCTTGTAGAGATTCTCATTTACATGGTTTAGAATTAAATAAGAATATAAATATGCTAAATCTAGGAGGGTCTGATACAGCAGAGGTTGCCTGATATATGTGAAGCCTAATCAAAAAACAACAATTTTTTAGCAACAATTTTTTTCTTGGTAATTTGAACAATATATCTGGTGAAGTGTGGAACTGAATTGTGCAATGTTTTATTCATCAAGATGGTTGGAAAATTGAAGAGTATGAATGATTGTTTCCATTCATGGGAAAGACACATGGAAAGAAATGTGATTTTTTTCAATACTCCCAATCCTGTTTAATTGTGGAAGTCTCTTCTTCTCTTTCTAAACTACACTGCTGGATTATTTGTAAAGTGATACACATTTGAAACACGTCTGAGTCACAGGAAGGAATTTTGGCTTATGGAGTAGGAAGCAGTATTTTCAGCATTTCCAACACATGAAAATTTCTTCTGCATTATGCTTTATTCATATAGACAGAGGAAACATAAACCTCATAATAGAAGCTGAGATGGAAATTGTGATTGTCTTTGTTAGATTTTTAAATTTTTATCTTTATTAATTTTGTCCTGAATGTATACATTAGGTTTTTGGATCAGAGACAGATTGTTATTACTTATATAATAACAACCGTGCTGGCTCCCTTTGCTCCAATTCTTTCTTACCCCTGGGGAGATGCGATAAGAACCAGATGTCACCCTACATTTAATGGGGTCTCACGAGTCAGAATCTGCTCCACGGCAACTGGTGGTGGTGATGGCAGTAATGTAGGCGGGGAATAGTGAGAAAATGTGGGCATTTATGTAGAAGAAGCAGGTAGCTGTCCCCCTTGCCTTCTAAAAGAAGGAGGAAAAACCTCTGCTCCTTGAAGACAAGATGGAAAGGATCCTGGGTTCTAACTCTAACCCTTATGGAGTGTACAGTAAATAAATCTATGCAGGGGCCGGAAAAGTCAAGTGTCTCCAGCTTTACAATCCAGTGATACATCCCAAATCCCAGACCTCACCCATCCCCCTTGAAATGCAAACACATACCTCTGAAGTTAGGTAAATCTCTCAAATTCTCACTGTGTATACAGTTGTAAATTACCTTCTCCAGCTTGCTTTTAATCCAGGATTCCACATTTCTATAACAATTTCCAGAAACCCTTAACTGTGTAGAAGCACAAAAATGTTTTCTCTACACCCCACTGTCTTCCAAAATTCTTCCTTTTGCCTGAGCACATGATCGCCCAGCTA